GACCGCGCCTTATCGTTAAGTAGTATTTGAAACGTGAATATCAAAGCGCCCTATAATTCAATCAATCAATTGGTATTTAAGCAATTTTATTTAGGATTTTGTGCTATCAGTTGTGATAATAGGCTAATAAGTTAACGTCAATCAATCACACCATACCTGCAATCCATTGAATACAATAAATATATAGGAAAACCATTCGCCAAACTCGTGGATGTAAAATAGGAAAGTAATCCACGTTATGCCCAACACCACTACCAGAGATGCCGAGCCCTTAATCCACGACAAACTCTGCGCGATTTGAGTGGCGATTGAACTGATCTGTGACGTTGAGGTCGTGGCCGATATGTCTTTCTCTTGGATTATCTTCTTCTTGACTTTTGCTGAAAACGCTTCCTTCAGAGCCAAACACATGATCACTGCGTTGGCCAAAGTGGAGAGCAGTGCCGGAGCGGCCACAGCCCACACGCGGTACGGGTGTGTTGGCGAAGATATCCAACAACTATACAATACATTTCAATAAATATATGATTATTAAATAGTATTGTAAAATAATTGACAAAAACATGTTTTCTCATACAAATAAGAGTCGTCTTCTGTAATGAAATCAAATCCAAAGCCTAAAAGTGCGCTCAAAGTGATGACAACCGGCACTCCGTAACCGATGATATATAAGTATATAAGCCTTAAGTGCCCGACATTACTGAAGACAAGGATAATCATCTGATACAAGTGGTAGCCTTCCATTAACATCCACGCAAACGATGCCAATAGAAAGTACAGTAAGAGTACGGCAACCGATTCACATAAGATCTGATTTGAAAATATATCAAATAAAGATTATTTAAACTTAAATTTTGTTATAAATTCTGTACATTATTCTAAGAATATAGCTTCTTGTAGAATTTTAAATTATTTTGCTTAAAAACTATTAAGTAATTTAACAATAATTAAAATACTGTGTCTATATTTGAGTAATTGAGTCATTATTACAACAAGTATTACATGATATAATTGTAACTTGTAACTAATTGTAAATTGTAACTTACACTGTTGAAAGTAGCGTCCATTCCAAACACAACCAGCAGATTGACAACAAGGAGGCAAAAACACAAATTACAGGTAATATTGTTTCGCCGATTTCTAAGCACTCGAACCAATGTTAAGAAACCAATGGTTAATACGAGACAAATGATAGACAGACCGCAACACACTTTCGTCAAANGAACCAATGTTAAGAAACCAATGGTTAATACGAGACAAATGATAGACAGACCGCAACACACTTTCGTCAAAATGTCTTTCACTTTAGTGTTGGCCTCTCTTCCGCTCACATCCATTAGAGCCGCAAAGTTTGTCAAATGATTGCATTCACAGACAGACACTTTCCGGTCGGAGCCCTCAACTCGGAACTGACACCCACTCGACGACCATTTCATTTGCTGGAAATCCCAGTAAACGCACTGCACTTTATCGCCAAATGTTAGCAAATTATTGTGTTTTACTCTAAAATATTTAGTTATAATTGTTATTTGAATCATTAATTTAATGAACAATTTGTTTATTTCTTACGTAATGACAACGGGGGAGACGTTTGCCGGAAGTTGTGTCGAGTTTTGATTGTTGGCGACACTGAATGCCACGATATCTGAGTTGAGTTCGTGTTTGTCGGCAAAGTTGACGGACAAATATCGGGACAACTTGTCGATTACAGCGCCGACAGCCGTCCCAGGAATGCACTCCGGATCGCGCAGCGGCTCCGGTATACCGGCAGGCAATTTGATGGATGAGGCCATGTGTTTGACCAAAAAAGTGGTCTCTTTGCTGTAATCCATTGTAAACGTTTGGACCACAATATTGTCTTTATGTATGGCCTCGTGCGAGGAGTTAGTGGTGTTGGACGGCTCCCGACAGCCCAACGCGAATGAACTCCTTTGCATGAAATGCAGTATATTTGAGCTGAAATTAGCTTTGACCTGATCATGGTCAATCTTATCCCACGCCCGTTCGCTCTCCAACACATCGCTGCAACTCTGAACCACGTGTTCGGTGAATG